CAGTAGTAGTAGTAGTAGTAGTAGTAGTAGTAGTAGTAGTAGTAGTAGTAGTAGTAGTAGTAGCAGCAGCAGTAGTAGAAGTAGTAGTAGTAGTAGTAGTAGTAGTATTTGTAAATAAAATTTTACACATTTCTAAATCGCAAATGTGAGGTTGTGTGTTTTGTGTCTTTTGTCTTACCTCCCTCCTGTGTTCCCCCGTTGTCATTACGCCTCCTTTCCCTCAGCTGTTTACTTGTCATTTCATCTCATCACACACACCTGTCTATAGTTTCTAATCAGTGTTTTCATCAGCTGTTGTTCATTTCCTCATTCCCTCCGTTTGTATTTATTCTGATTCAGATCTCCACACACTCGCTGGTTCATTGTTTGCTTTATCCTGCTGTCTTGGTCTCCTTGTTGTCTCCCTGTGCTCTATGGATTTTTGTGTGTTTTGCTGCCTCGTCAGCTTTTTGGTTTTTGTTTAAATAAATAGTTTATTTTTATGAGCTCCTAGAGTCTGCCTGCTTTTGGGTTCTCCCTGCGTCGAACCCTGACAGCAAAAGTGTCAAAGATATTTGAACTTTTTATTGTTCAAACAGTGATTCATCACTCCTGCCTACTTTGTGCTGTTTTAGCCACTTTTATACCAAAATGTTCAGGTCATTCAGGAGACCGTCATTTACTGTCATTTAATCACATTTTTTTGTTCTCAAGATGTTTAAGTTTGTTTACAAATATTATTCCAAGTACATAAATTTAAAGGTTTTTGATTGCTACACAAACATTCTTCTGTTTTAAATCTGATCTTGTAATCTTGCTCTATGCTACTTTAGCCATAGCCACCGTTCTGCTATGATTTTAGCTACCRTTCTGCTACTTTCAGCTGCTACAATTCTGTCACTTTAAATAGCTTTTTGCTTGCCTWTTGCTAGTTTTAGTTTTAGCTWGCATTTTGCTACTCTTAGCAAATGTTTTACTACTTTTRCTKTTAGCTAGCATTTTGCTTTTTTAATCTTTAAGTTGGTTTTCTATTTCTCTTGCTCAKAAACTGCMTTTTTGYAGAAAATGTTTYTTTCTTGGTTTAAACTGTTTATTTTGCAAAGTGTTAATAAGATGGACAAAACGCTAGAAACACTTTAATAAAGAGTTGGAAGGTAAAAAGCAAGCGTTTGTGTTTGAAATTGATACTCAGCTAAAAAAAAGACAACCTACCCTCCATATTTTCTAGTATGTTTGGAGCAAATCCACCTTCATCGCCCACATTTGTGGCATCCTGCCCGTACTTCTTCTTGATGACGTTTTTCAGATTGTGGTAAACTTCGGCTCCAATGCGCATGGCTTCTTTAAAGGTGCTGGCACCGATGGGCAGGATCATGAACTCCTGCATGGCGAGCTTGTTGCCTGCGTGGGAGCCACCGTTGATCACATTGAAGGCCTGTTGGAGGGAGAAACAAAACCTGTGAAGACCTGATTGAGATCAAAGCAGTAAATACAGTTKGAGCGTGGTGTTTTGAAGGACTGRCATACCGGTACAGGTAAGATGACCTCTGGGTTTTCTGCCAGGTCAGCAATATGACGATACAAAGGCACTCCTTTCTCTGCAGCACCGGCTTTACAAACCGCCAGAGAAACACCCAGAATGGCATTGGCTCCAAATTTGGCTGTTCGCAGTAAACACAGTTAGATTCCAACACATACTGATCACTTGTAATAAAATTATACATATGAAATGAATTTGGATGCTCCATACTGTAACTCAAGARAATTTAAACATTCAGACAAAGAGCAGATTCTTTCKGGTGAAAAATTWAAAAYGTCTGCCAAAMTGATTGTTTCTTACATTTGTTGTTTGTGCCATCCATGTCAATCATAATCTGATCGATTCTCTCCTGTTCAACCACAGATACGTCCTGAGGAAAGYCAAGATTCACATTTGTGTAACAGTAAAGAACATCCCWAAATAAATATAAATGTGCTGCAACMAAAACAAAGCATTGAGTGCAGWYGGTGTTACCTGACCAACAAGTGCAGGTGCAATTGACGAGTTGATGTGTTCTACAGCCTGTGAGACTCCTGTAAGAAAAACAGTTAAATTCAGTCTTTGATAATGTTAAAAKCTTAAGCAAGTGATTCAATAAACCATGACGCTTTTCATGCAACTTACATGAATCAAATTATGAGTTTAGCTTTTTAAAGTCTTACTTTATTGATGTAATGCTTTGCCRTCAACTCATTATCCTTTGTGATTATTTCCAAATAATCATTTTATTTCAAATGATGAAATTTTTGGTTTTAAGTCAAGAGCTCAGTCTTTTTGGTTTGTCAAAGGGAGAAAAGGTTGATAAAAATTACAAAACAAAAGCAAGTAATAAAGAAAAAACCGGCTCGTGTTAAAAATTGTGTGTTAAAAATTAGCAAATACCTTCCTGTGTAAATGAACAATGATGCACAAACCTTTTCCGAGGTAGCGAGATTTGTCATTATCTCTGAGCTCCAGAGCTTCGTAGATTCCAGTGGAAGCACCGCTCGGTACAGCAGCTCGAAACAAGCCTGGGAATAAACAAGCAGAAGCAGAAACATGACAAAAACACTTACTTTATTTTCAGAAAACCAAAAATACAGTAGTGAAATTTTGGTTTTTACGAAGTTACATAATTTTACTTATTGATGTAAGAAAAGTTTTCAGTCAACAAGCTGAATTTCATAACKTGATTCAGTATTTTCCCTCAATTTTAATGTTTGGCATCATAAATATGTCATTTCCTGAAAGGCTCTTGTACAGATTGTTGTTTAATCAATCAACARCAGGTAGATCAAATAAAGACATGAGAAAAGTTAAGAACAAACTCATTTTTAAAGTGAAAAGATCTATACAAAGTCAATAAGTTTCACCTTCTGACATGTTTTATTTAAACTACACAATAACTAATGGAGACCCACACATAGCTGTACCTTTGTTGGTGTAAAGGTCAACCTCCACTGTGGGGTTTCCACGAGAATCAAAGATCTCTCGGGCGTGGATCTTAACGATGGACATGGTTCAACACCTGAAGACAAAACAAGTCAACTTAAACAAACAAAAAAATTACTCTTTTACAGGTTCAAAAAACAATTAAAAATACAAACATAAATCAAATAATGTTTTATCTACTAATAAAAGCACGACTGCTGTAACTTTTTTTTACTTTTCTCTTCAGCTGAAGTTCTCAAAAATATCCTGACCTGACTGGAAGCTTAGGAGAGCGGACAGGGAAGCTACTGCCCTTATTGGATTATTCCCCCTCAGCTGATGAATCACATGGGTGGCAGGATAATAAACTYAGTGCATCTGCCAGAGCATTGTTAAGCTTGTCTTTACAGTAGCTTGTAAATCTGCATTTTAGTCTATGAAAAGTTAATGCATTTAGCAACAAATGCAAGTTTGAGCTCATTTCCTTTGTTATGTTTTCCATTCACATACCCAACAATCAACTACAAAATGTAACAGTTAGTTTGTCAGCTTTTGTTTGTCTGAACTTGTTTTTAAGGGTGTGCTTGGTAAAGCATGATACCAATAAAGTGTTTTTAGGTAATAAAAGCGTGTGATTCAATTTTAGTATTTTCTGTTACATATAATGATGGTCTGTAATCAAACAGAGGCCTGCATGTCATATTAAGTGATGACTTATGTCTGATCTAATTGAGTCAAAAGTTTAAATATATTAGGTCAAACCAACCGGACCTTTGACCCACCAGCTTTAACCCAGCCAAGACCAAACAAAACAGACATTCTGGAAGTTCATCAGTTGATTTATTTAACAAACAGGGATCGTAACAGCTTGTGGATAAACCATATACAGCCACAGACTGCAACCCCCATAGGTTAAAAAAAGGTGAGCCAGTAATCAGAAGGTTAATAGTTTAACTCCTCAGACTGACAAAAATGTGGGTAAGTCCTTGTAGTGTCTTTTCTCTGGTCCCTGGTTCCGATTCGGTTCGGTTCGGCTGGGCTTTGTCAGCTGCTTGACTCTGCTCATCTGGGGTTGCTCTGCTGCTGCTGTCGGCTGGTTCGCTGCTACTTCTGGCTGCTGCGGCTGGCTGGTTCCGCTGTCGGTGGCTTCTCCTGAAGACTTGTCAATAAAACTCTAGGCTAACATTTAAATGAAGAAGAGGCTATTTCTTCAGCTTTGGACATGTTTATTCACGAGAGACATGATAGAGCTTCCACACAGCTAACATGTTACTCTAACTCTCCTGCCCTGAGAAGCGCGTGCCCCCGAGACAAGCGTGAGCATGCCTGGCTCGTTCACGTTCCTTAAAGGGCCAGTACACACCTGAAAATTCACCACATCCTCATTTATCCCATTCTGGGTCCTTGAGCAAGGCCCTCAACCCCACTAGCTTACTGCTACACATGTGTGCTCATGTGAGGTGGGAATAATGCAGAGAACTAATTTCCACACTGGATAAATAAATTACTTTTACTTTATTTTTATCAGATTGTTAAGCATCCTATTTCCACTCCCAAAACCTTGAAGTAGTCTCTGGTAAACCCTCTCAGCAGGGTTGAAGATTGTCATACGAGGATTAAAAAAAAACTGGACGCTGATTGTGAAAGTATGGGATTGCCACTGGTTGCTGACAGGTGTCACTCAGGCACCTGACTGTCAACATCTGATGAGAGCAAAAGCTCAAAACAAACATCAACAGTAGGATAAGCTGTTAGCATTAACAGACAAGATTTTCCACAATTACTGATTGTTTAAGATTTACAGTTAAACTTTAACAATAATAATCACACAGGAGCAGAAAGATTTTTTTATTTGCATTTATTTCTAACTGGACTGTATGTTTGACACTAGTTTAACATATATTTGAATAATGTGAAGTGGATTTTGATAATGAACTATTTTAATATAAACCTCTCAATGAGAAAATAAGACCACCAAGGATACACATAGGTGTTGTTGAATGTCATCGGGGTGTATCTCAGGAGTAAAAACACAAAAGTTCCCTTTAAAAGTAAACAAAAAATAATGAATATTAGGAATTATTTGTTCATCAATGCATAATGTTTCTATAGACACTTACAACGCACGTAAGAGGTGTGACACACAGCCAGCAGTATTTGATCAGTGGCAGAGGTTTGTAACCAATCATGTCCTCAATGTTTCAATAAACTAAGTGCAAAACTTTCTAAGAATTCTTATCAAAGCTTTAAAAATGAATTTAGTTGCGACATCGTGCCTCACATAATCTGCCTTTGTTCAGATGAAAAGATTGGTTTAAGCAGACATTTTTCCTGAATAATCAAGTAAACCTTTTGTTGTTGTTGTTGTTGTTGTTGTTGTTGTTGTTGTTGTTGTTGTTGTTGTTGTTGTTGTTTTAACTCATAAATAAGGTTTATTCAGTTTACACCAAGTCAAATATTTTGTTTTAACACAGCTGAAATGACAAAGTAACCTCAAACCTAGTCCCACTTCTGGATGTCAACTCAACCATTTTTTATTCATGGTTGTTTGTAGTAAAAATGCGGAAAGACGCAGACCAGAACTTGTTGGTTTATGAGTTCTTGCAGCTGCAGGCCTTAAAAGTGAGTCTTACATAACCCTATTGGTTTTCCAGGGATCATCTGGATGATGTATTATTTTATGCTTGCAAATATCTCTCTTTATTAAAGTTTTGTTTTTGTTGTTTGTTAGATTTTTTCAGCACGAACTGATCTGTTACTGATAATGTGTTCTAACTGTCTTGAAATTTTGTTTGTTTCTGTGCAGATTTAGTACCTTTTTGTAATTAGTGGTTTGAGAATAATGAAGTATATTAGATTTTTATGCTGTGCTCTTTGTACTGGTAAAAATTCTAATATGAAAAGTGTTGGATTATTACTTACTAGTAGTGCTAGGATTAGTACAGTGTAAATTCGACTCCACTCCTTACAGTTCCCGTGTAGACCAGCAGAGGGGGCAAACGTCCTCTAACAAGCAGAAGACACAATTAAAAACCGTAGAAGAAGAATTCGCTTCGGCGGAAATGAATTGGAAAAAACTTGCTCGTGCACGTTTTAATTAAATACACTTTAATTTAAAACTAATTTTTGCTGAAGCCTGCTATTTATTATAATAATGTCGGGAATACCTCCAGACACATGGCAGCCGCCCACCGTGGGTTTGGAAACTACGTGAGTTCTATTTAAATGCTAACTGTGTTAGCATTTAGCACAGCTAACTGTGTTAGCTTTTTTATTTACGTTCTCTCCCCGTTTTAATACATTATGTCTAAATGTATTTTTGCTTTGGACAGATCACTAAAAAGCTGAGCTTATACTGCTCACTTTGACACGTCTCTAATGGTTGAATTCTTGCTTTGCAGAATGGGGACATTTGTTTTGGAGCTGTACTGGAACCATGCTCCAAAAACCTGCAAGAACTTTGCAGAACTCTGCAGACGAGGCTACTACAACAACACCAGGTTCCACCGGATCATTAAAGACTTCATGGTGCAGGGGGGAGATCCTACAGGGACAGGTGGGTCACCCACTGTATATGCTTTTGTCAAGAAATAAATATTTTCAAAGTTAACTGTCATGTTTTATTTCATTGGTTATATATGAAAATCAGTATTAGAGATCAACATCTTTGCAGATATAAAACATTGGATTTCCCTAATGACATTTTAACACTTAATGTTTTTATGTACTCATTTATATTTTTGGATATTCAGACTTGTACATGCCAAAGTTACATACTAGAACAGTTCTTACAAATCCAACAACTCGTGCTGCGAAACCACAATTTATATAATAAATTATATGTTGGTTTCTTGTTCATGCCTCACCTACAGTGGTTTGCAAAAGTATTCATACCCCTTGAACTTTTCCATATTTGGTCACATTACAACCACAAACATAAATATATTTCACTGGAATTTAATGTGAAAGACCAACACAAAGTGGTATACAATTGTGAAGTGGAAGCAAAATTTTACATGAATCAAAACATTTTTTACAAATAAAAAACTGAAAAGTGCGATGTGCAAAAKTATTCAGCCCCCCTGAGTCAATACTTTGTGGAGCCACCTTTTGCTGCAATTACAGCTGCAAGTCTTTTAGGGTATGTCTCCACCAGCTTTGCACATCTAGTGACTGCAATTCTTGCCCATTCCTCCTTGCAAAACAGCTCAAGCTCAGTCAGATTGGATGGAGAGCGTTTGTGAACAGCAGTTTTGAGATCTTGCCACAAATTCTCAATTGGGTTTAGGTCTGGACTTGACTGGGCCATTCTAACACATGAATATTCTTTTTTTTAAACCACTCCATTGTAGCTTTGGCTTTATGTTTAGGGTCGTTGTCCTGCTGGAAGGTGAACCTCCGCCCCAGTCTCAAATCTTTTGCTGACTCCAACAGGTTTTCTTCCAAGATTGCCCTGTATTTGGCTCCATCCATCTTCCCATCAACTTTGACCAACTTCCCGGTCCCTGCTGAAGAGAAGCACCCCCAGAGCATGATGCTGCCACCACCATATTTGACAGTGGGGATGGTGTTTTCAGAGTGATGTGCAGTGTTCTTTCTCCGCCACACATAGCGTTTTGCATTGTGGCCAAAAAGTTCAATTTTGGTCTCGTCTGACCAAAGCACCTTCTTCCACATGTTTGCTGTGTCCTCAACATGGCTTCTGGCAAACTGCAAACGGGACTTCTTATGGTTTTCTTTTAACAATGGCTTTCTCCTTGCCACTCTTCCATAAAGACCACATTTGTGTAGTGCACGACTAATTGTTGTCCTGTGGACAGTTTCCCCCACCTGAGCTGTGGCTCTCTGCATTTCATCCAGAGTCACCATGGGCCTCTTGGCTGCCTCTCTGATCAGTGATCTCCTTGTTCGGCCTGTAAGTTTAGGTGGACGGCCTTGTCTTGGCAGGTTTACTGTGGTGCCATACTCTTTCCATTTCCGGATGATGGATTGAACAGTGCTCCGTGAGATGTTCAAAGCTTGGGAAATCTTTTTATAACCTAAGCCTGCTTTAAACTTCTCCAAAACCATATTCCTAACCTGTCTGGTGTGTTCTTTGGACTTCATGATGCTGTTTGCTCCCCAATATTCTCTTAACCAACATCTGAGGCCGTCACGGAGCAGCTGTATTTGTACTGAGATTAGATTACACACAGGTGGACCCTTTTGAGTCATTAGCAGTCATCAGGCAACTTCTGAATGCAATTGGTTGCACTCAGGGAAAAGGGGGCTGAATACTTTTGCACGTCGCACTTTTCAGTTTTTTATTTGTAAAAAATGTTTTGATTCATGTAAAATTTTGCTTCCACTTCACAATTGTATACCACTTTGTGTTGGTCTTTCACATTAAATTCCAGTGAAATATATTTATGTTTGTGGTTGTAATGTGACAAAATATGGAAAAGTTCAAGGGGTATGAATACTTTTGCAAACCACTGTAAATGTATCTGAAGTTTATGATCTTTCTTTTCTGCACAGGTCGAGGAGGCGCCTCCATTTATGGCAAACAGTTTGAAGATGAGCTGCACCCAGAGCTGAAGTTCACAGGTAATCACAGTGGTTCATAACAAAAAGGGAAACAGAGGAAAACAGTAAATATCTCATTTGGTTTCGTGTGTTTGTGTATGCAAGGAGGTGGAATTCTTGCCATGGCCAATGCTGGGCCCAACACCAATGGCAGTCAGTTCTTCCTCACACTTGGACCCACCCAGTGGCTGGACGGAAAGCACAGTATTTTTGGAAGAGTGTGTCAGGGCATCGGAGTGCTGAACCGGATTGGGATGGTGGAAACAAACAGTCAAGATCGTCCAGTGGATGATATCAAAATAATCAGAGCCATTGTACCTAATTAGACAAATGTTTACCTTCACTCATTTTTTGTACTTGTCATATACTTTTTTTAAATAAACACACRATCAATGTCTCAAGATGTCCTGACTTTATTTATTCAGATGAGTCCCATTAAGAACAATCCACAGCAAACACCACGTTCAAACATACAGGTGCTCTTAGAAGCACTTCACGATTCAAGTTTAGGCTGCAAGTTGATGACTGATTTTTATCAGTTTTATCTGTTAAACACTAAAATAAGACCCTAAAATCTAGAAACAAAATTAAAAATTTTGTCATAACAAACTGTCATGCTATGCATAAATTAGTAAGCATGACTAAAACTACGTTTAAACGAAACATACAGGTCAGGTTTGTTGCACATGAAAAGCTTCATCAGTTGTGCGTCACACTTTCATCTCCCATTCAGCTCCATCACTTCCTTTGTTAACAGGTGTGTTTGGTTGAGGTCAAAGGGCACTGCTCAGGTTGCTCTGATCTGCTGTTCATCTGGTTTTCAGGATGACAAAGCTGCTCGATTTTCTGTGGAAACAGCAGGTACTCAAAACAAAACCACAGGGTTCACTTTTTAAGCTAACTTTTATGACAGAATGCAACATTTGTTTTTCGATGTCCTGTTTGAACTCGACACCCTGACCTCTCTTGCCTCTTAACCTGGAATGAACTTTATTTTTGCAAGTTTTAATAAGAACTGTCTTGAAAGTTTGTGGTGAGATTTGGTGCTGCTATTATGTCCTTTCCTCAGGATGACATCTAAGAACTTCGGATCCCTTTTCATTAATTTTGTATGTTTATGTAAAGATTCTGAGTGAAATCAGTCCTAACTGCTGAAATAAATGACTTCTTAAGGGCTACTTTCATATATAGAAACAGAATATTATTGATTCAATCATCTTAATTCTGGGATCGCCCATATTTAACTGCTAACTTTGTCTACATTAGTTCACACTTCACCACAAAGTCACCACCTGCTAAAAGGATGAAACAGCAGCAGGATTTTGTTTTTTTTTAAAGGCGTAACGGGAGTAACAGTTACACAACATAAGGGCAACACCTAGAACCATGGCACAACTCAGCTGATCATAGTTTATCAACATGTATGAAATCATATTAGATACTCTGTGCAATGATATCTTATCAGGAGAATCATGGTAGTTTAAGGAGTAGTGAGACTTTTGAAGGAATGAAAGGTGGAGGAAGCTCAGGCAAGGTTTCAATTAGTGAAAAATATATTTGTTATTACTTTTTAAACAAATATTTTTTATCATGAGAAGAACTGGTTCAGAGAAAAGAAAAGAGAGTCACAAGACAGACAGCAGGGGTGACGTGAAGCCAGCAAACCTTCATCAGAGGCCACAGATGATAGACAACCTGTCATGTCTTCAATGTTGTCATAGAGGTCGGCACCTGTTCAAAAAAATATTTTTTCATATTTAATTTAAAGAAATAACAAGGACTTAGTATGGAACAAAAAGGAGAAAATTTAAATTACTAAAGTTTAAAATAAAAAGGTACAAATTTGATTTTTAAATAAGGAATAGACAATCAGAAAGTTGCAAATGTGGCCCAATGAAATAAAAAGAAAATGTTATGGATGACTAACAGTTTTGATGTGAAAATGTATTTTTAAAAACTCATATTGTTTGACGATTCCCTGTCTTAAAAAGATTTCCTTTTGTGAGTTATCTATTTTTGGATTATCTTTAAGAATTAAAGCAGAAAAAAATAATCTTGTAATGCTCTGATCATTTCATATTTGTGTCAATACACAATTTGTTTCATAGTACATCTTCAACAAGCATAAAATAAGAACATTTTATGGCAGCATCAGTTGCAGGCTGGAAAGCTAGAGATACATATGGACACAATTATTTTTTCATCCATCCATTTTTCTTCTGTTCGTTTCTCAAAGGGAAACCCAAACATCTCTCTCCTCAGCACCGTCTTCCAGCTCCTCCCTGAGGATCCCAAGCCAGCGAGGACACATAAGAACTAATTTTTAAAGAGGGATATCCAAAACTTGAATCAGAGTGTGCTTTAAAAAAAAGCAAATGCATTTAAAGTGATGCAAGAGCTTTTCTGTGACAACTCACCATATATCCATCCAATTGCTATGGACTGACAGACTGAAAGGAGGAGAAGAGTGTTGCCACTGCAAAATATAGAAATCAAAGGCTGGAGGAAATACAGCGCCCCCTGCAGGAAGGCAGCAGTTACTGAACATTAGGAACAAATTAACAAACTCATGAACAAATTCACTGATGACATTTTAGACTGGGACTTTTTAACAGAGCGCTTCTGTTTTGATTTTAAATAAGAAACAACACAAACCGGATATGGAGTTATTGCCACAACATGCTGTTAGGACTCACAGTTCTTACCTCTGTGACGAGAAGCAGGCCGAGAAGAAAGCAAACAGTGCAGAGACAGAGCAGCAGCAGTTCTCTGCGATGAGCTTTCCGAAGCGTAGAGGGGAACATATCTGTGACTGAAGTCATCAAACACTCCAGACTCACAAACTGCAGAGAAATAAACACAGTGTGTAGATTATCAATCTGATGCTTTTTTTTTCATCAGTTGCAACAAAGATTCTAAACTTTAGAATCTAAAACAACTATTTAACATTAAAACGTTAACGTGATTTAAAAGTAGTTTAATAGTTTGTTTTCTGCAAGTCAGATACTAACTACTCATAACTATGTAACACAATCCCAGTTTAAAACAAGACAATACTCCATTTAAGGATCCAAAACTGATCAAACATGTTGGTTGTCTCATCTGTACACTGATGACGTGATGGCAAATTCAAAGAGATGAGTCTCTTATCATACCTGCGTATCTGCGCCCAACAAGATGAGCATGATAAAGAAGCATTTAGCCCATATCTGAGGAAAAGGCATCATGGCGACTGCACGAGGATATGTAATAAATGCCAAACCAGGTCCTGAGGAAATAATAGAGCAAAATATCTTAGTTTTATGTTGGAATTCAAAAACAGTCTGAACAACTACATTTTACGTTTCTCTGTTTTTTTTATTTATACATCTGTTTTTAGATAAAGGTTTATTATATTCAATTCTAATCTTATAAGTATTGAATTTGATTATTAAACAATAATAAATACATTAGTGAAGTTTTTGCAGAAAACAATGATTAATTAGTGTTGTCTAAATAAGCTACACACACATATACAC